TGGGGTACCTGGAACACATACTTTCCCTCCTGAGGCGTACCCCGGCCTTGGAGAAATGATTAAGCACTATGTCCAAGTTCTCTAAATGCTCTTTTATTGATCTTCCTGGTTGTTAGCATGTCATTTGGATAAATGGCCATGTTCTTCATTTTCTGCTGGAAAATGGAACATGCTGATGAAACCTCAAAAGGCAGTTTCGTATATTGGTACAAACACTTATGGGTATTAATTGTAGCAAACCTCTGGGAATCCTCATCTAACCACAGTTGCAGGTACACATGGCTTGTGTACAGCTTTGCAAAAGACAGCACTCCCCCCATCCTGCCAGTTTTTTGTGTACAAGTTCTCTGTGGGAGGGACTGGATATTTATCCAGCTGCGAGAAGTGGTTCACCATTCCTTCGAAATTCCCACAAAGGTGAACTGACCCATTGGCCCTTAACAGTCAGTACAACCGGTGCTGCCCATTCCACAAACTGGACTGGTTTGATGATTCCTTCGCTTTCCAACCTCTTGATTTCTACCTCTACTTGTGCATGCAAGGCTGATGGCACTGGGCAGGCCTCATAGAATCGTGGAATTGCTTCTTGGTCCCTTTTTTTTTGTTAGTTCCTACAACTCCCTGAAAAAACTCCAGGCGTTTAGTTAGGACTTCACTCAGGCAGCTATTTTCTAATCAAAAAATGTTGAGCCAATCAACATGCATCTTTCTTGACCAATTTTGCCCCATTTAAGTTTTGGCACAAACCTTTTCGTACGATCAGCGGTAACTGAACCAGCTGTTCTCATGAGAGACCAGAACTTAAGTTATACTGTTAATCTGTAGGGACATCCCAGTATAGTTTCTCAGCCTGGCCGAGGTCTTGCACAAACTTAAGAGCTGGAGTCCAAAGCAAATTTTGATAAAGACTGGTTCTACGATCAATGTTACAGCTGTGCCAGTATTGACTTCCATTAGAACTGGATGTCCATTCAACTGGATGTTTATTTTTGGTTCTGATTTGGATGTTGCTAAGCAATTTAACTATTCCAAACCAGCTGTAGTTCAACTTTCCAGGGTGTGCCCTACCCTAGATACCAGTCTGAGTTCCCTTACTCAATTCAGGCCTGGTGGGATTCTTTTGCTGTCTCAAGTCCAACACCGGCAGGAACTGCAATGGGTTGTCGGCCTGGATCCTTGAGAGAGTTTTTAATCATTTGGCTGAGACTTGGCTTTGGGTTTTAGCTGTGGACTGACCCTAGGGTCCCTCTCTCCAGGATATGCCATGAGTGAGGCTATGCAATTGCCTTCACTCAAGTGGTGTTCCCCAAGCTCAGTCAGACTGGCGAGGATGTCCATTTCCATTGGCATACCCTGTAACTCCTAAGCTCCACTTGCTGCATTTTCTAACAACAAAGCCAGTTCTAGTGCCTGTTTGAAGTCCAGTTGCACTTCAGCGAGTAGGCACTTTTTGCATGGTCACATCATTAATCCCACATACCAAATGACCTCTTCTCAGTATCTCACTGAGGGTTAAATCAAAATCACATGCATCTGCCAGTCATCTTAACCCTTGTCAAAAATCCTGATACGGATTCCTCTGGTTTTCGAACTGTCGAGTAAAACTGATTGCATCCCAGAACGAGAAGAGGATTGGTGTTGTAATATTCCTTAGCTAAATCCATTAACTCTAGAAAGGTTTTGGCAGCCAGTTCCTCCCAGGACAGTTAGGCTCCCAATAACCAAGGAAGCTGCAGGTCCACCGCTGTCAGGAGAACTACTTGTTGCTTTTCGTCTGCCCCGATGTCATTTGCCTGGAAAAAATAATGCATTCTTTCTACATACTTCGCCCAGTCTTCGGCAGGATCAAACAAGTGAAGCTTCCCAAATAGTTGCATGATGTCAGCAATGTTTACCCTAATTCAAAGATGACTGAGTGGATCGCTTTAGGGGCGTGTTTTCCTTTTGTTGCCACGATATGATTCCACGAAGGTCAGTATCCCGTCAGCAAGTCTCCTTTTACACGTACACAGTACGTGACACTAACCCAGCTAGCACAGAGCCAGCTCCTAGAGTGAGCAGAACCCCTGACTGAGGCTGTTAAACTGTTCCAATCAGGGAACTCATTCTGAGAGATCCACCTGGCTGACATCATTCCAATCGCTACAGTAGTGAAGATTTATGCCCCCATTCTAGCTGTATCTTGATTCAAGCTGTTCCAGTACAGTTTATAAAATTAACAATAGACATTTATTCAGGTATGTCCTACCCACAAAAAGACAAATCTCATCCCTCAACCATCAACAGTGATGAAAGGTGTTGCATAGCTATCTATTCATTAATCTGCTTCAACATGCTCAGTTTGGGTTCTGCCAGAGTACCATGAGTTGTTAATGTGCAGGTAGCCCACCTGTACCTCACTGAAATGATCCTTGTAAAGCTCAATCCAGAGGATCAGGTTATTGTACAATAAGATGCACTCTTGTGACCCATATATATATGTTTGCCTGGATCTGACGCTGAACTTTTAATGCCCGGTTTCCCACCCCTGAGACCAGGTGGTAGGCAAGTAAAGTTAAATGGTGTTTTGGGAGAACAGTAGTGACTTCCTGGTTTCTCATGTATTTGACCAGGAGCTGGTGGGTGTCAGACGGTTCACATGTCTTTGGACCAATTGAGGTCCTTTAATGGGTAATTGGTGGCCAACTGATATTGCTAGTATTTGTGCCCACACTAGATGGTGAAACTATGATGGCTAGCACCTTAAGACCTTGCGTTCCATGGAAGCAGAAGCAACAACTACAGGCAAATAATTACATGTCAACCATAAAAAACTTTTGGTATTTCCAAGGCCAGTGGAGTCTAATTTACCTTGATTTTCCAGTTGGTGCAGCCTTTATATGAAAGTAAACATTGTTTGCACTGTCTGGGGATTGAACTTTGGACTTGTTTATGGTAATTACAAAATTGAATGTTTAGTAGATCATATCTTGGCATAATTATTGGTCACTCCTCTATGCGGTTTAAGTGTCTTAGCTTTGTAGGAGATGACTTGCACTGCCTAGATTTGTCTTTATCATAGCATGAGTCAAAGGTGGAATGAGATGGCTGTTTTCCATCTAAAGTTGAATTTCTTCCTCTCCTAAACTTTTATTCTCTGAAGGTGAGAAAACAAACATTTCTGAGACAGCTTTGAGTCGTTATACTGTGTGAAAATTTCAGTGTAGTTAAAGTAATAGCTAATATGCATCAACTGAATTACACAACTAGTCAAGTTGATTTGAATATGATGCATAGTCATACAGCACAGAAACAGACCCTTCGGTCCAACCAGTCAATGTTGAACGTAATCCCAAACTAAACTATTCTCACCATCCTGCTCCTGGCCCATATCCTTCCAAACCTTTCCTATTCAAATATCCATCCAAATGTCTTTTAAATGTTGTAATTGTACCCTCAGGAGGTTCATTCCACCAAAAGTCCACCCTTTGTGTAAAAAATTTGCCTGTCTTTTGTAATCTCTCTCCTCGCACCTTAAAAATGTCCTCCTTGATCTTGAAATTCCCCTTAGGGAAAAGACAATTGCCATCGACACTCTGTATACCTCTCATTATTTTATAAACTTCTATCAGGTCACCTGTCAACCTCCTACACTCCAGTCAAAAAAGCTCCAGCCTTTCCTTTATATATGTTGGCCCATATTAGTAGCCATTGTATTTGACTTTTTTTAAATAAAACTCAAAAGTATTCTCCAGTACTTTGAAAATTTTAGACATAGTCTGAGTTCTCTCAGCTTTTTATTTGACCACCCTAACTCTGCTCACAGTTATCCAATTTCCAAAAGAGTTTTTCTGAAGAAGGGTGCCAACCTGAAACATCAGCTTTCCTGCTCCTTTGATACTGCCTGGCCTGTTGTGTTCTTCCAGTTCCATGCTGTGTTATCTCCAAAAGAAAGTTGCTGTCTTCCTTGCACCCTCTCCATGCCTCTATTCACAGACTGTTTGGCACCATGGTTTAATCGGTTTTAAATGCCTCAACAAAACTAACACGTTGCATTTGGTTTAGTTTATTTCCTTTTGGAATATTAACCAGTCATCTAGATGCTGTTTTTTTTAAAGCAAAAGTTAGAATCCATTTTTCCTCAAATACATCATCAGAAGCATCTCTAATTCTGCAGTGTGTGTTTCTAACTTTTTTTTTTTTAAATCTTTTCTCTGTGACTACCTGGCAAGAGAAATTCTGAAATGGGAGAGTGGCTAATTACTGTCCAGTGCAGTTTTCTGATAAGCTGCCTGCAAAGACTAGGAAATAAGTTTTGATAATCTTCATTTCTTTTGCTTTATATTTAGTAGCCATACCTGGGAGTGTGGAGGTATATTTGAGGGTGTTTATATTTATTTGAAAAGTTTGCTGTTGATATGCTGTGCATTGGTTTCACCTTTTCTCATGGGATTTAGGAGCAACATTAAACCATTCAGCCCTTTGAACCTGCTCTGCAATAAGGTTATGGTAATGGCTGCTCTGATTGTGGTCCCAGTTCCGTTTTCCTGAATGCCCCACCTGGAGGCTTTTAGTTTCAACATATCATGGACAATGGTCAGCATTGTAAAATGTCCCCCAGAATGCCTTGTTCACACACCATAATCCAATGGGAATAACCATGGACTGACAGAATATAATCCCAAAAATTCCACATCAGTGTAAAAACAAAAGTAACTTCATTTGCACCAATCAGTAGAAACCTGTGGCCTTGCTTATAAGTAATTGTAGTTTAGAATCATAGAATCAACCTGTTTTGCAAAAAGCAACTATTCTGTACAGTGCAAAACGGAGCTGATTGTTAATATTGTTAAATCTTTAAAAGTGAAAACCAAGAACCCAAGAAATAAAACATTAACAAACCTATATGGTTGAAATATAAATACTTGTATTCTGTTACACCATCCGCTAAACAAGACTTGTATATAAAGTATTTTTGAAAACCAGTTATTCACTTTTTTTTCTATCTATCTTGCTTTCAGGTGAAAAGAAGTTCTCCTGCCCAGAGTGCTCAAAGCGGTTTATGCGGAGTGATCATCTTTCAAAGCATGTCAAAACCCACCAGAACAAGAAAGGTGCTGCTGTTGTCCAAAGTGTTGGGAGCGCCTCACCAGACATGGAGGCATCTGTGGCAGAAGTTCTCGTCTCTCCCAGAATAGTTGCCATAACAACTGCCTCCCAGGATTCCAGTCCAACAATGCCAACCATGGCAAATAGCATAGATGAATATTGATATCTTTAACATGCAGCAGTCTAGATACAGCACTTATCGATTTATTTCAAAGAAGTAGAATCAATATTAAAAATCTAGAAGAGCGTTGGGGGGTGGAAACAACAATTAGATTGCAATTCAAAACCTGTTACATTGATTTGGATCTAACATTTTAACTGAATTAAGTAGCAATATGCCCAGTAGCTGTTGAGCACCAGCCGTTTATTAAATTTGCATATTGAGTATTAAATTTAACAATCTCTAAAAGTTTACCACTTTATTAAAAATGCCATTAAGATAATCCCTCTTGGAAACAGAATTGCTTGTTTGACACTATCCAAAATAAGTCTGTCAATTATGCTTTTTGTTTTTAATTGTGCAATCTTAAACAACAAACTTCTATTAATTATAGCTCTTTATAGAGAATCCCATTTAAAAACAATGAAGATCTCCACTAAGCTTGCTTTATAACATAATCTTGGCCAGATCATTTCTAATGGTCACAGTTTAGTAACCATGCTGATTTATTAAAAAAATTACTGATTTTCTTTTTTTGGGGGGGGTTTTAAAAAAATCAGTTTTTCAACTCCATCTCCTCAGTGGATGACAATCGAAATTTTAAAATAATTGTATACTAGAACCATTTGCTTTAACAGGTAACCAAATTATAATGAATATATGTGAAATAAGTGGAACCAGTACGTTGGTAAGTGACTGCAATAATGGAGAGGCTTAAGGTGATCCTAGTTTGATTAAACCTCTCTGTAAGGAGGAAGATTTTATTCCAAGTTTTATTCACATGTGGAATAGATCTCAACTTGTTAACATTTAATTGTGATGAATGTTTTTGTAGAAATCTGATGTCTGCAGCTGTTTAGTTAATGGAATAGCTTTCTAGGATCCTAATTGTTGAAAGCTGTCAGCTAAGGGGAATATTTGGTTACAGGGTGGCAATTATAACTCCCTTGGATGTCTAAAAAGAAAACTACTTCTATTTTTCTTTTCTTGTGTAAAATACTTGTTTTACAAATGTTTTCAATTAAACTTATGCATGTTTTTTATTCCTATACTGACTTTTCTCATTGTTTAGGCATAAATTTGTTTGTTTGTTTCTTAAAACATTTTCATGGACCAGTTAGTTCTTGTTAGCCCAGTGAGAGAGAGAGTTTTTGTCTGACCTTTACATATTTGGCTTTTGTGTGTATATGTCTGTTTATTTTTTGTTTGCTCTTTAGTTCAATCTTTTAGGAATCATAAATTTATATAGAATCTCCTTTTCATAACGCTATCCTTGCTAGAGCTGTCTTCTGGAGATAAACTAGACACTGATTTGATCCAGTGTCTTAGTAAGTCTCTTGACTGTTTTCAGTGCTCATTCCTTTTTGTACAAATATGTTTATACCACCGAGTTATTCGTGTATTTTGTTGGTCTTAATCCTTGGTACAGCTATATAAGATTATGACATGTATAGTTCTATAAATGGTCAATGTTGCCATTAGTAATACTTGCAGGTTTTTTCCCCCCAGTGAGTTGGTGTCTTGTTGCAAGTGGACATGGCTGTAGAAGATTACAGTTCTGAAATTTGCATCTTGATTATTATTTATCACAAGTATTATTTACTTGCATACTATGTGCAAGGCCAGAAATGAATGAGATGTATTTGTAGGTGCAAGTAAATTTGTCCTTTTGGGAAGCAGTAAAATATAAAATTATATATATATAGATTTTCATCAATATAGTCATTAACTACCGTATTGTGATTATAGTTTGTTTCTGGCCTTGCAAAGTACTTTTACTTTAACTTATGTCTGATTCCATTTGTGCTTATAATCATGCATGTAATGATTAAAAAGAAATAATTGCCCATCAAACTAAATTCTAAATAACTTACAGATGTTTAAGAGTAAAAAGTACACAATTAATATGTGTAAAAATATTAAGAGGGAATATTGTTGATGGTAGCGTTTAGGGAAAAAAATAAATTTTGGTTTTGAATATCAGACTTTCTACAACAAAATTATTAACCTGAATATTTTGTTACAATAATTCACTTGTAAATCTTTTTTTAAAATGTGTTTTCCTGGCATCATAAACTTTTAATATTGGATTCTGCCAGAATGGCCTTAAAAGGCATGATTTGTTCACATTTTTATAATGCAGATTTGTATAAAAGAGTGCATTTTGTGGTGAAAGTGTTTTTTCACCTGCAGCAGAAAACTGAACTTGTCCATTAAAATATCCTTTAAGTTGAGATGCTTGTGCTTGTTGTTTTATTATTTAAACATTCTAATTCATTGTTTTCTTATAGGATGAGGAATTTAGTAAAACCTTTCTGATTTTGTTGACATCTTGATTTATCTTTTCAGTTACACTACAAAAAAGTCATTTACTTTCAACAGACAGACAGACAAAACCCATTTCTTAAGTAGAAAACTATTTTGCTCGCCTCAGCAGTAAGGCCTGCAATACAAAATATAATGTAGGGTAACTGACTATTGAAATAAAATAATAGAATGGGAAAGATTCAAAATACACATTCTACACATGATGATCAGCCTGTTGATTCAGTAACACTTTGAAGTTCCTGAAATTGTTTTTCTTGGTCAGTATGACATTCGTAAGTTAGATTTGAGTAAAATTACCTTTTAATTCTGCAGTTATCATCATCTCTATTTGACTGTAATTTAATGCTGCAGCATTTGGGGTGAATTGAGTATGTTTTCTAATCCCCACCAATGCTTTGTGTGACTGGATATAGTCAAGGCAATAATGTCCTCAAATTTCTCCTTCCACCAATACCCTGTTCTGACAATTCATCATTCATTCTACTCATTGTAGACTGACCACTTTTGAATTTGAATCAGAGTCCTTCTCCATAGTATTGCTACTGATCATGGCATCTTTTTTCCTTTTGCTTCTCTCATTATGGAGTGTGGTTGAGTTTTTTGTTTGAAGTGCAGCTTCTCTTTCACAACAATCTGTGGACATAACCTGATTTTTGCAATATTATGTAGCTTGGTGAAAATTTAAAATTTTCTTGTATTAAAATTGATTGCCATATAGATCATTGCAATGTTCAGGTGTAGCAACTGTAACCCCAGCATTAAAATTTAGTTTAATTTGATATTTGAGTGAGTTGTCATTTTATAAATTCTGAAGATACTTACATAGAACGTATATCGTACAAACCAGAAATACCTAGTTTTAGGTTCTACACCAACTTACTCCATATATACCTTGCCCAACCCGTGCAATGTTTTTAAAACTACAATCCTTTCTGAAGGAGAAAAAGAACCCAACATAGCAATATTTTCCAATAATCCCTCACTTCTAGTACTATCTTTAATTTTTTTTTTGGTATTTTATCTGGTGTTGCTATGTCCTTCTAATAGATTAGAAATAAAAATCTGGACATTATCTATAGGCTTACCAGGATCCTGTACAAATTCAAAATAGTCACTTTTAAATGTTATGTCTCGAGAAATAGATGCAAGTACTCTAATGCCACTTTTTCTCCAATGTATTGTTGAACTGAGATGCTGCTTTGTACTCTTCATTTAGTTTCCTAATATCAGCTACAATGGAAGTTGCAAAATGTAGCTTGTCTACTGTGCTTGGGTAGTTATCTTCTCTTCTAAATCTGCAGTCCTCTTCCCATTCCTCAAAAGAACCAATCCTTGATCCCCTCCATCCGTACAAACCACCCCCATATCTCCAGCTTTCCTCCAAAAACCTTGAATGCATTGTTGCCTCCCAAATCTATGCCTGTTTTTTTTCTGGGGCTCCACGTCCGAATCTGTCCATTCGGATTACACTCCAAAGTACTAAAAAGGGTTTTATCAAAGTCCTAGTTGACATCCTACGTGACTGTGATAAACTATCCCCTCTTGTCCTCTCAACCTGTCTGCAGCTTTTGCCGTGGTTAACCACACCATCCCCCTTCACCTCCCCACCACCCTCTATAGTAGCTGAGACTGCTCCCACTTGGTTCCAATCTTATCTGTCCAGTTGTAGCCAGAGTATCACTTGCAATGACTTCTCTTTCTGTACCTACATTGTTGCTGCTGGTATTGCCTGTGAATCTATTCTTGATGATTTTGGCTATATATGTTCCAAAGACGGCGCATTATTTACCACGTGTAAGCTGATGGTATTCAGCCATATCTCACTACCATCTTTTCCTCTCAAATGCCTCTAACTTGACAGCTCATCAGAGATCCAGCACTGGATGAAGAAAAATTTCCTCCTAAGATGAGACACCTAAAGCCATTGGTTTCAGTCCCAATCATCTCCATTCCCTAGTAATGAACTCCATTCTTTTCTCTTGTATCCAAAGTCCAGCTTTAACCAGATTGTGAATTTAGTGTCATACTGAAAGGAGCTTCCAATTACACATTTGTACCATCACAAAGACTACTTAATTCCATCCTCATTAACCAATTCTACATTGCCTCAGCTAAAAGATTATTATTAGGCATTAATGTCTGTTCAGTGCAATTCTGTACACTGCTGCAGGTCTCCCCTCTGTCCAGCCTCTGAAGTCAAGCCATCTAGTTTTCCCTGACCTAGCCTGTTTTGTTTTTTTTCCCTAATGTTTCATCCAGTGTGAATAGCAGAAGACTCCAGCAACTTTTAAACATTCTTCTGCATGATATCTTTCAAGTTACCCTAGCTTTTTCTATTACCTCATCAGAATATTTCAGCTTGACTTTAATCTTTTGGAATCATTACTGTTGTAATATTTTCTGTTCTGTTGCTACATATTGATGTAATCAATGAGAAATTGAATTTGGTTCTAGTAGTTGAGTTCCACTCTGGTCATCTTATTCTGACTAAAGTAAGCGTTAATGCACAAAACGGTCAGTAAGATGCATGGTCTGAGTGAAGGAGACACTGCTGGAATGAGACTGAGAAAGTCACTGGCAGTTGGGTTGACATGGAAATTTGGGGCAGAGTGAAAGAGATGCTTTAAGGTTTATTCCA